AGGAAAACGGTATCAGGACATGTTGACAAGGTTTGTGATCCCTGAACTGCAACAATGTGGCCGCCTCCAGGACACGATATTTATGCAGGATGGTGCACCTTCCCATATTCTTCGCTGCGTTCAACAGGTGTTAAGGGCAACTTTTACCGATGCACGTGTGATCAACCGCTGTTTCCCTACAGCTTGGCCTCCCCGCTTGCCTGATCTCACGCCATGCGACTTTTGGTTAAGGGGATTCTTAAAGGATCGAGTCTACCGAGAACACCCATCAACCTTGGCACATCTGAAACACGCAATTATTCGACATGTTCGTGGAATTAATGTGCACTTACTGCGTTCCGCTGTAGAACACATTGCTTTGCGAATGGAAAAAGTTGTGGAGAACCACGGCACACATATAGAACATCTGTAGAATGTCTTGTTGATCTTCCTTCAGCGCCACCTATTGGCAACTTACTTGTTTTTTTTTTTTTTTTTTTTTTGTTTGTTTGTTTAAGAAATCTCGAGCGCATGATCTGATGTGTCTGCTTTTAAAATTTCATCACATTATGACCCATACAACACTCTGCACAGGCCTTTGAGTTGTGGAAGTTTAATTTTGATAACCCTGTATATATGGACTGTGTATGTAAAGTCATTCTTTATAAAGTGTATCCGTTGATATAAATGCCATAAATAAATTAATTGTTTAAATAATTAATCTCACGTTCTTTTCTTTTATAAGATGTATATATATGGTTGGGTTCTACGGGTTTGTGGATTTGGAATGATTGATGACAACACTTGATGAAGAATCAAAGCACAATTTATTACCCAATACTACTCAGAATAGTTTTAAAAATACGTTTATAGTCATTCAAAAACTATGACTAACACGCTGAAACAATCATCAACACAGCCTTCAGGCTATAACGGGAAAGACAGCTTCACGGCAAAGCACTTAAGTACAGCTCCCGACTCGGTCGATCACTAAGCTAATCTCTGAACTCAAATCATTAAGCCGTACTCAAGATACTCCTCGTACAGACAACAGGCAGGGTATATAATCTTTTGACTTGCCTTCGAGATCATTCTCGGTAACATCAGTAAGTAATTGCTTTATAATAATGAAATTGTTATACGAATAGATATAATAGCAAGGAAAATCTGCTGTTGTATTATTTATGTATTAGATCAGAAAGCTGAAGTTTTGAGTTTTAGCACGTAAATCATTGAAACATTATATATGCGAATCATATAATAATTAAACATTTGCAATGTAGAATATACGTAAGCTCGAAGATTCATAAAAGTTCTTAAGCTGTATTTCGCTATCAAAATTCTTAGCATATACGAAATTGATGTTAACCATCCTTAACTGTTTCATACTTAAATCGAATATTTCTTGTTAATATAAAGGGCGAAATAATTTTAGAACCCGAAACCTTACAGGAAGTATTATCTTTTTACTAAAACATGAAAAGAAAATTGTCATTTAAGTTAAAGATCCATCATTTTGACGTAAAATGACAAGAGAATTTCGCCAACTATCTAGTTTTCCTTGTAAAATCAATTTTTGCGATACAGCATGTCGAAGACAAATTGAGTCCCTCCTATCCACTTAGGCTGCACCTCAACTATCATAGTTTTACCTTCATCTTTTTATGTCTAATTTAAGCTTTTCATGGCGGCTGGAACATACATATTGAATGCGATCACAATATTAAATAAGGCTTAAAGAAATGTAGTCCGCTATGGGGATCTAAATCTTGTTACTTAATGCGGAACAGAATAACTATTTTGTGTAGGTCACGGGAAACGAGTAAAAAATGTGACATGACACTGAAAATATTGCATTCTTTTAGCAATACAAGATGTTCGAAAAAGTGGCAATGAACTGATTATGTCTTCAAATATTAATCCTAACATTAAAATTATGTGAAAATTGTTCCGATACTATACATGAATGAAATTCATAAAAATCAAACTATAAAAATCTATTTGTTAAAATATCTTCTTACAGCAAGCTAGTGGTTAGCAAGTATGTTTATCCACAGTAAAATATTCAGCTTCCTTTAATGATTTAGAAACGTTTCTTTACTTTTTATACGCAAATTTCCATGAGATATAATACCTAATTAATAGATACTTTTAGGCGCTAGCTACAAATTTAATGGTGAGAGATGTTTTAGGAAATTAATGAGTAATAAAATATTAGTATTGATTTTGTGATTTAAATAAACATCCCATGACTATATTTATGTGCAAAATTCGTTCTTACGCCTCTAACAGTCATTTTTGAGGGACCACATACAAATTTATAAAAATGACACCTTTGTAAGTTTGCAATTAGTAACATTTTCGCCATGCTTTCATAAGTTAAAAACATATATTCAAGACATTTATGCGTAAATTTCGTTCAGATGCACTTAATAGGCTTTTTTGATTAGATGGCTATATATTTAATTCAGTAAATAAACAATTCGAAAGATATTCGCCATGTTTTCACTATTTAGAAACAAACATTTCAAATGTTCACGTGCACGTAAGAGGAATTTAATTAAAAGGCTTTTGTTTTAGGGGAGAAATAGTTATTTAACATGGATTAATGTTTCAGCGAATTAATAATTAGTTAAATATTAGCTATGCTTTCATGATTTAAAACCAAACTTCTAATACATTTCTTTTATACTTATAAACAACTATTCTGTACTTTCACGATCAACATTCTTTGAGATACATTTAATTAACAAGTTTTATTCAGGGCTTAAGTAGACTTTTGATAATGGGTAATTTATCAGTAAATTAACAATTAACAAAATATTCGATCTGGTTTCCTGATTTATAATGAATATTCAAATCATTGTTTTTATGTTTAAAACCCTCTAAGCAGCCCTTCTCTAAAAAGCACAAATTTTCCAAAACTACCATGAGAAAGAATTATTTTCTTGATTTTAATGTCAAAATGCCCGAGTTACTTTATACCCGTATTTTAAGATGCACGTATATATACGTTCTTATAGTAATCACAAAATATATTCTAGGACATTTATGTACGGCCTTGCCAGTCAGTGTTAAAAACAACTACACTAACAACATTATTTGACACATTTTGTTAAGAGACTATATGAGGGTCTAATCAGAGGTTTTACAATGAATGATGTTTCTGTAAATAAGCAATTAATAAAATATCCGCATGAACCACATTACCGAGTTATGTTTTATTTAAAGCCATAATACGTCAAGAAAAGTCTTTATTTATAAATTTAATAATTGCTTCCTCAATTTGCTCTCAAATATTTTTTGAATTACCTCCAAAAATTGTCTGGGAAAATATAAAGAGATAACAACACTTTTTACGACAATCCTTCCCTCTTACATTCCATCACTGAGTACAATTACATTTCCAAACATTTCGTTTTAAATTCTGCAGATAAGTTAATTTTAATTTCCTTCCTAACATTGATCTTAAAATACCTAAATAATTATTCTTTATTAAATTAAATTTAAAATATTATGTAAATTTTAATCTAATTTTGATTTTGTATTTAACATTTTAATTTTAAAGAATGAATAAGTTTTGTTTTTACTTTTGAATTTGCGTTTAAAAAGAGTGTCGGGGAATATTTTTTCTACAGTGAGGATCTCGTTTATCTATATTCTTAACGAGTTACTTAAATTGAAAAGATAATCTTACTAAATTTATTTTGTTTATGATAGTTCTTTTGGCTTAAATGGACTAATATATCTCTATTAATTGAGTATTGTTAGTGACTCTAGCTGTAGTAGAAATATAATTTGGTCCTACTTAGAAAAAAAAAGACAAAACACTCTCACTTTATTTAGTTTTTGTAAATTGAAAGTAGATTGATTTGTTCCCCTTGACAAGTCAATCTGCAGTCAATGACTTTTTCATTACTTACATTTTTACTTTTGTTATTGGTATCTTTTCGATACCAAAATCTTTTCGATTCAGGATTTTTTTTACAGATACTTCATGGATTTTACTGCACTAAAAGTTTAGATAATACTAATTTAAAATATTGATTACAGTACTAACTAATTTTTTTTTGTTATAATAATTCATGGTTTTAATTGAATGTCTGTTCCTTGGAGATAATATATAAAAAAAGTTTTCTAATAATAAAGTTTTCGTTTATTACTTAGCAACTTTAGCACAAGATTTAGGCCTATTAATTTACTCATAATCACTTATATATGTAATATTTCTAAAGCATAGAAGAGGAATGAGCTTGGAGTCGTTGTGGCTTATGGTGAAGAATTACAGACGAAGATAACAAAACATGAACTTGACGAATTCACAATCTTTATTTTCACACATATGAAATCACCTCCGTAGATATTTATCCAATCATAATGAAATCCGATACATTTCTATGATTCAATCATAATAAAATGTGATAATTTTCTCTGTACATTGGTTTTGAACAAGAAATGACTCAGGCATTTTACAGTAGCGAAGCGAGGAAATATTAGCAAGGTGGAAGCTAGCAGAATAATGAGGTAATTAGCTCGTCAGATGTATTTATACCAAAGTAGGTGCGATTCTAGAAACAAACTATGATTGGTTAATATTAGTTTTAATTACTCTTTCCCAGTAGCGTTACATAACATAGAAAAATTTCGAATTTGGGAAAACAGCTAGGGGGAGAGCACCAAGTCTAGAATGTTAATTTTGAGATCGACAATTATTTTTAAAGCAGCTATCGTATTTTATTATATATTACATATATATACTGCTATAAGAGGTAAACTCGGTAATATGGTTGGGAACAGTTCTGTAAAACGTTTATAACCATATTACTGAGTTTACCTCCTATACCAGTGTTGAATCTACTGCACTCAAGAGATAATGTTATTAGAAATTTCCGTTTACTTAACCGAAGTCATCTTTATCGAACATACTTGTATAAATTATTTCCCCAAAATGGTGCTTTTCCTTAGGAAAGGTTTAATAACAAATTTATAATTTAATACTGAGTAAATGCAAATGTACTTACGTGTCACCAGGTTGCTTGTTAACGTAGCAGGAATGCAAAAAAGAATAACCAGCATATCAGCAATAGCCAAGTTCACGATGAAATAGTTCGTTACAGTCCTCATTTGCCGAATTCGAAGTACAACGCCTACCACAAAGACATTGCCAACGAACCCCAACACGAAAATAAACACATAGGCAGCCACAAAAACGGCACTGATGAAATTGGAGTGTCGAAAATAATTTCCAGGGTTCACGTTTAGTATGAAGTGGGAAGTGGCGTTAATAAACAAATAATTGTCTTTGCCTAAAGTTTCCTGGACGGGCATCGTAGTTGATGGATGAACAGCTCTGTTTGTGGATCAGAACACGTATACTGAAACCGAAATGTTGCACCACTGGGTCGTTTCTTGTATTTTTATGGTACGAATTAAAATTGCAGTTTATATCTTCTTTTTCAAAAGAACATATTTCTGAAAAAGCGCAAAATATTACTTCCGATAAAGTAAAATATGAAAGAATTAAAATTATTATTTGAACTCTCCTAAAACGTAACACGAACTATTTATCCTTATTTCAGCAAAATGTTTTCAGAACTGAAGGACAGAAACACGTAAATTCTAGTAAGCGATAACTTTTAAGAGAACATTTGTACCAAAAGAATTCTCTTTAAATTCTTTTTAAATTACAATTCTTGTAGGTTTTTTGAGAAGTTTTTCTTACTGAACATATACCTCAAAAGCACAAGTTTATTTTATCTTTACTTATCCTACAGGCTGAAACTAAAAACTCTTTCCTTGATAACAACAGCAGTCAAATTCTTACTTTTATCCCATTTATTTTCTATGGATCTTAAAATTCTTCCAAAGCATACTGAGTAATTTTATTGAAATTTATTGAAAAGCAGAATTCTAAAATAATCTCTTATCACTTACTTCGCTAGAAAATACATTTGTTTTTCTTAAATCCTCCTTTGACAAAGTTAAACTAACTTCGATACTCGTTAAAAGCAACTTTTCAAAAAGAAACGTTGTAAACAAATTACTGCAGACTTTGACGTCTCGTCTGAAATCAGTTCTTTTCAAACACTTCAGTAAAAGAATTAATTTTAATTGCCACTCATGTTCCAGCTGTAAGAGCAAATCCATGTATTTTCGAGAATAAAGTTTGTTTTAACACACAATTCTTGTTTAAAAAGCAGTTTTCAGAATTTTTCTGAAATTAACGACGAACTTCGAGAAGCGACATGCACTTGAAGCTCCATATAATTAGCACGCGTCCAGTCAAATAAAATGGGCATATTTTCCTAACTATGCCTCCAGACGTAGCCTCTTACACGTTTCCCTTACAGGAAATTATTTCGCTGTTTATTTGATCAACTCACCAAGGCCTACTTTTCACGTCTCGTATGCAGATGTTTGCCACTTGCAACTAACAAATCATTTAATTGGGTCACTGGCAGATGTCAAAAATACTGCTACTATAAACCATTTGAGAACATTATTTTTAACGTTTTTGCTTTCATGAGAAAGTTTAATTTTCTTGTACGAAGAGGAAGGTCATTCACAAATAATTTGTGAAAGTTTATAAGATGAAACATACGTTTTATATATATTAGTATATTAATTTAAGATCATGGCATCAGTAATTTTTTCGGAAACGTTATAAGCAGAACATTTAATTGGATAAAGATCTCGTCTTTCATTGCTGTTTTATAGTTAGTTAGTGGTTAAAAGAAAGGAAATATATATATATAAAAATACGTAATAAAAAAATCTGAAATATTTCAGATTTTAACGTAAGCCCAAAAGTGTTTGTTAAGGTTCTTTACTCTCTCGGTGAGCTCACAATTTACCAGCCTGGTGTTACACTCATATTTATAATTCCCGATGCAGAGTTAATTGTTGGTATATTTCTACTTTATTTTTGTTCAGGCTTTTCTTATTTCACCTTTTTTTTACTAAGATGGCTTTACGAAACATTTTTTTATCTTTTTATTATTAACGTTTCGTGTGTTGTTTACATTGTTTATTAAATATCCCGTTCTCGGAGCTTACAACACACAAAATTGGATTCAACAGCAAAATCACAAAATAATTAAAAATAGTACATCTTTAAATTTTCCGATAGATAGTCAACGGCCGAGCGGTAAAGTCGCTGAACACTGGTAGTTCGGTCCGAGGTTCGAATCCCGCGAACGGGCTGGCTGCATGGGCGTTTTCCCCCTGTGTAACGTGTATACGAGCCAGTTTCCCTTAGAAAGTCCTCCACGAAGGCATCCCTCCGCTTAGGCAGATAGCCCTACACTGGTGTGCAAAAATTAAGGACGAGACGGTTTTTTCAATATAACTTTGTACAAAAGCTTTCCAAATCAACACATTTAATACCGTAAGATCCCCAACACGTAAGAACATGAGTAATGTAAGCAACACTTACTAAAAGAGAAATCAGAGGGATAAAAAGAAGCTTTATTGAAAAAGTAGCATAGAACACAATGCGACTGAAGGCCGAAACATCCCTGTGATGGGTGTCCAGCAAGAAACATCCGGTCTTTAATAGGATCTCCCCTGACTGCTAGGCAGGTTTCACAGCGTCTGCCCATGCTGAGAATGAGGGTGTCAATGAGTTGTTGAGGCATGGCTGCCCATTCGTCTTGCAGCGCCAATCGAAGCTCCGGAATCGTTTCTGGTGGTAAGGTACGAGCTGCCAAGCGTCTGCCTAGAAAATCCCATACATGCTCGATGGGATTGAGATCCGGAGATCGTGCCAGCCAATCCATACGTTCAATATCCTCACTCTCTAAGAGCTGTTCGGCAGCTACTGTGCAGTGACATGGTGCATTGTCTTCCATGAAAAGGAACTGCGGACCCATAGCGCCTCTAAAAAGACGCACATATGGAAGAAGAATCTCGTTACAATAACGGTCCCGTTGACTGAACCTGCGTCGAAGATGTGAAGGTCTGTGCGACTACCAAACATGATGCCTCCCCAAACGAGAACACCGCCACCTCCATACCTGTCCCTTTCAATGATGTTCGAGGGATGATTGCGGCTTCCCCGCTCTCTCCAGTTGAGTATGCGATGAGAATCGCTACTCAGACTGATCTGCTCTCATCTGTAAAGAGTACTCGTCCCCATTCATTGTCTCTCCAATTCCGGTGTTCCCGGCACCACAGAGAACGCCTTCTCCAATGGGCAGGCGTTAGAGGTGCACACCGTACAGGGCGGCGTGCAAACAGACCACCACCGTGCAGTCTTCTGGCCACGGTAAAACGCGATATCGGTCGTCCAGTCGCCTGTGTCGTGTGTCTAGCGATTTCTTCCGCTGTCTGCCGCCTGTGTCTTCTGGCCTGTAAGGCAATATACCGGTCATCTGCGGGTGTGGTTCCTCGTGGACGACCACTACTAAACCCCCGGATAACTGTTCCTGTAGTTTGAAATTGTCTCCAAAGTCGTGAAACGATGCTGTGAGCAATTCCGATCTCTGCAGCCACACTTGTCACACTGCGGCCTTCCTCCAACTTCCCAATCATTCGACCTAGGCTAAAAGCATCCAGATGTCGTCTAACAGATTGATTATTTGCCATTTCTCGCTGAGGCAGCAACTCGGTGTGATTTTAACTGCTATACGGCGTGCAATCTCTTTGCCAGAAATACTGATCTTACACCGACAACATGCTTTATACTACTCAGATACTCCTCCATTACGTCTACCTGCATATCGGCGCATGTGCTACCGTACATCACCTTACTTAATCTCTTGATTGGTCTTTCTGTCCGCTCTGCCTCTTCGTTCAGCTGATATGCTAATTTTTCGACTTCGTCCTTAATTTTTGTACACCAGTGTAGTGTGATGTGCCATAATTAAATAAACCAAACTAAACCAAACCGATAGACAGTCTCGCTTGCTGGAGAAAAATGTATTTTACCGTACACCGCGCAGTGTTGCCACTGTTCGCTTTGAAATCGTTGAGTTTGTTAATCAAAAATTCCTTAAAATTTTTCCTAGTGGTTGTTAGAAAAAATGCGTATAATATTTTTATTTAAATCATTATGTCTTTTATCTGTAACTTATTTATTCATTTTAATGTGGATAGATAGTTGTAGTTAGCGGTTTTCTCATTTTATCTGATGACATAAAAACTTTTATGTTTTTAATCAAAGTATTTTATATTAGGACTTTACGCGCAAAATCATGCATAGCTAAATTTTACTAAAATAAATAAACATATTTTTTTTTAATATCTGAAAAGGTTGCAGATATTAATGGTTGTTAAAAAGATCTCTGTTAAAGTTTAATATGGTTTACCAGTAGAGATTTTCAATAGTAATGTTTCAGATGCAATTTTTGAATTTTTTATTGGATATTATATGAATATACGTATAGATTAACATAAGAACGTTATTTATTTTCCGCATGCTTAAAGAGTTAAAAAAATACATAAAGTAATTTAAAAGATATTTAGTATTTTTACTTACACGTACAGACAATTAAATACATTTTAGCCAAAATAACTATTACTCTCAAAACACGATTTTATATTGATTTACTTTAAATTTTGTTCCCTGAAAATATGTTGTTTCACATTTTATTCGAGTGTGCTGCCTCTCAGCAAAATGTAAGTTTATCTTTCAATCTAATCTGTCTTATTTTTTTCCAATGGTGGCCTCTAGCCGTTTGTAGTCCTTCTCTACTGTTAAGGTCGGAAGCGGCGTTTTGTTATTATGGAAGCACTTACAGGTGGGCTACTGTTGCCTTCTATGAGGACACGGGCAAATTATATCCAGGCCTTCTCCGGGATTCGAACTGGGGCCCTTCGGTACGACAGTTAGAGTCAGTAACCACTTTACCTTCTGGCCGCAATCTTTTTGTTATTGATTAATAAATCAGGCGATTTAAAACCAACGAATATAATTCTTAAGAATATTATTTTTTGAAATTTTAAGCGGATTGACTTCAATAGAATTCATTTAATTCATGATATATATAATTAAAAACATTTTATAAAACTATATTGTAAGGTATTTTATTCTTTCTTTCTGCATGCCTTCGTAGTGTAATAGTAGCACAGTCGGCGCGTATTCGAGAAGTCCAGGTTCGACTCCCGGCAAGGGCAGTGCTCATTTATCGTGTTTCCTGCTTCGAAGAGCGTAATGTCTCTACAATGGCGCCCGAAATAAAAACGGTGGTGGATGATGATTCTACAAGAGAATTTGGAGATTGGGTCCCATCATTCCCAGTCGCTCTTTAAAGGGGGTATATAAGGTATTTTCTCCCTACTTCCAGCATGCCTTCGTGGTGTAACAGTTAGCACACGTATCGCGTATTCAAGAGCTCCAGGAGGCCCACCAACGGCCGAGCGGTAAAGACGCTGAACACTGGTAGTTCGGTCTGAGGTTCGAATCTCGCGAACGGGCTGGCTGTATGGGCGTTTTCGTGGTTTTCCCCATGGGCAACATGTATACGAGCCAGTGTCCCTTAGAAAGTCCTCCTCGAAGGCATCCCTTCCTTTAGGCAGATAGCCCTAGTGTAGTTTGCCATAATTAAATAATCCAATCAATAGGTCCAGGTTCGAGTCCCGGCGAAGGTGCTGCTCAGTTTTCACGTCTCCAGTATCAAAATAACCCAATGAATCCACAACATTACGCATTTTTTTCACTTTCCAAATAAGCAAAAGACGTGTTTTTCTATTCTACTTGAGCCATCCATATTGATATATGCTATTGATAAAACATATTAAGCTCTAACAGAGCCCTTTGGGCGAACATTAAAATTTGAAACCTTTTAGAGTTTTAGATATCCCTTTCTTTTACTCTTCTTAATTTATTATAAAACTAATTGTATTTTAATATTTTTCATTCAAATAAATCTGATTAATTAGTAAAAGTAATATTCTTCAGAATTATGCATCTATTGCTTTAAAATTGCTTAGTTTCTTAATCAATAAAAACAGGTTAAATTAAAAAGATTTGGAGATCTTACATTTTGTTGAATAGCAACAGATTTGAACAGGCAGCCTATAAAAGAAACAGTCAAGCATTTTATAACAGAAATATCTTCCTTGCTATAAAGGAATATATATATATATATATATGATAAACTAAAAACTAATAAAAATATAAATGTACAAAAGAAAATACTTTTTATAAAAAAAATCAAACCTGTCATTTAAGTTTGATTTACGTTTGCAAACCGAATTATTTATCAACAGAAAAAAGAGATTTTTTCAGAAATATATGGAAAAAAACATAAACCCAAGAGTTTGAATTTACTTCTCAGAGAGGACAAAAAAGAATATATCATCGGAAGAAATCGTTTAGAGAATTTTCTGAGCAA